CCATTGACAAGTCACAACATACACACTGAAAGCCAAAAGGAACTATTATAGGGTAGCAACTTTATCGACGTTAGCTAGAGGCACTAAATAAGAAAATGCTGTTAAAATGTTCGGGGTTAAAGGAACAAGAAGAAGCATAAAGGTCGCTCCCTACACCATACTAATAAACAATTCAATGTGCCAATTCTAAAAGAATCTAAAATACATATACTGGTCTATTCATCAGTCACCATTGAGGAGAATTACACTTTCACATATTCCTGTAAGAGGCAATGTGTAAACTTTCGGCTGAGGAGTTGAGGAATTACCATTATTATCGTACACGTTGGCTAGAAGACCATAGGTAGGAGTAGGTGGCTTTGATACCAAGGTAGCTGCATTAAAAACTTTTGGCATTTTTACGTATATTGATTTTTCTAATTTTCAATGAGTTCTTTACTTTTCTCATACGCACATTTTAAGTGTGCGGAAAGCTCTGTCTGATACGTTAAATTTTGCTACGACGATGAATTGCGCTAATCATACTAGGGTATCACTGTCTATCTCGAATGTGCTTACTTGGCTTTACTGTGTGTTGCAAACCCGATATAATATTTGCTTATGCACTTTAAATGCGTTGAAGTGTTTAAATTTATATCACTAGAAAGGAGATTTCAACACCAGTCACATCAAACACTGAGTGACTTCGATAGCAGCTAGTGCATCACCAACTCAATCAATGCATTACTTAGGAAGTAAATGCATGATTTCTGACCTTCGTAAACGTTATTTAAATATAACTACAAATCTGTAATTCGCTTTTAATGATTTGCGGTACACTGCGCACAAAATTCTTATAAAGTTGCAGGCAAAATTTAGCACGGTAAGGAAATATCATGCAAGTTAATTAGAAGATGATTAATTATTTTGTTGTTTGATTGTAGACACAGTTAAGGTCATATCCCAGGCTATCAAAAGCGCCATATTTAGTACCTTGGTCATGTGTTTTGGCAGCATTGGGCATTCGTTGCAAATAGTTAAGTAATAGCTCTAACGAACTTATTATCACAGCAGCTGCTATTGGACGAAAAAAACTTTCATTAGTGTTTAAAAAAATCAATCATAAGTACCTTAAAATGGCGCATAGCTTGCTATTTTGCTCATGTTAACAAACACAAAACTGCTGCTAGTGTTATAACTAATTAAATACGATGGGTAGAATTAATTTTCTTCCAGTGCACATTCTCCTATAAAGTCGCAGCAGATTACAAGAGCCCAACAATCACGAAAGTTCAAGTTCACGTAAAGACTGCCTTGGCAAATCGCTCCTTTCATCTTACTTACTTAGTAGTTGATCTAACTATGCCTCGTGAATATCTTAAGTTGCCTTTACTTACAATACTTGAACCAGTTTCGCGGTGCCTATTGGCCCAGGTCGTAGCCAAAGATACCCATCTAACAAGTGCTCCGTCTCGATTTACCATCTATCCCTCATCTACGAAGATATAGCAAAATATTTCTGCTGTGAAAGTTGGGGTTTAAGCAGAGGGTGCAATCGAACAGCAATAATACCAAGTATTTACCGAGTAG